TTTCCCCTTGGAGATTAATGAAGTATGTCTTCTTCTTAATATTTGAGGTCCAGGAGCAAGATTTTTAAAAAAATGAGGGACAGAACACCAAATTCTGGCATCAAGAAAAAACAAAAAAAAACTAGAAAAGCACTCAGAGAGTGCAGACCTCCGCCAAGTAGGTGATATTCCCTCCCTCTCTGCATCAGATTTTGCAGCCTGCATCACAATTAGGTTATTTGCATCACTATCATTATTAGGTTATATATGCCTTCACCATGGAGACACTGAAGTGCATTTATTTCGTTTTTATTTTGATAACACAGAATATAATATGTTTTTTTTTTGTATTTTTCACTTTCTTTTTTCCAACACAGAACATTAATTTCAACTTTAGAATTACAACAATACAACAGTAGTAGAGCAAGACATGCTTTCTGGCCACCAGATGGCGCTATTTTCACCGTCTTTAGAAATTGGAATTGCTGCTCAGGCTGTCAGATGATAGACTTTATTTGTTATTTTATCCACTTTGCTTCAACCGATCACCACCAAAATTATCAAGGAATTATCATCTGTTCCTTGGCCCATTATGCACCTTTCCTGAGAATTTCATCAAAATCCATTCATAACTTTTTGAGTTAATTTGCAGACAAACAAACAGACAAACAAACAAACAGACCAACACCGGCGAAAACATAACCTCCTTTCAGGGGTGCTACGCTGAATGTTGGAATTTAGAGGTATTATGACAAATATTGGAGGCTTACACCTCACTTTCAGATCTGCAAGAAAATTTTATGATTACCATAATATACTATTAATAAGGGAGCTATTTTAACGTTTCAGTTTTGGAAGCAAAATTAAAAGAAATTGGGATTAGAAGATATGAATAAAAATTAAAAAATAAAAATAAATACAAGGGTACAATGTTATTTTAGAACATTAAGGGATTGTTGTTAAACAAATATTGGTGACACTCTATTAATGTTTGATAGAGTGGGGGCACTACAACAAATTTTGGGATTAGAAGGAATATTAATTTATATATTTTTTGAGTGATACGGGCGACTAAGAAATTTTTAGATTTAAAATAAATAAATTTGGGTAATTATCACAAAATTTGTAATAAAAAGGGATGACAAATTTTAGGTGTTCCATAGAAAATTTTGTAACTCTGGGACGCTATAACAAATTTGGGGATTTGGAACGATCACAAATACTGGGGGTGCTACAACAAAGTAGGGATCTGAGGGAGCTAAAGCATATTTTTGGCAATTCTGCATATGTCCCCAAACAGGCTTCGCACCACCCACCTCTGCTCTATTCAGATTGAAACTACGGGTTGTGGTCTCTCTTGCTTTCCTTGCAACACTTTCCTTTAACAGTCATAGTTAGTCTCATAACCCCTCCTCTTTCCACTGAGCTCTGGCCCACACATCAAACCAAGACACAATACACAACATTTGACCTGAGGTTACGGTTTCCTGACACAGTTTATGGCAGCTAATGATGTTGATTTCACACTGTGTTGAGAACTGATTGAACATTACCATAAAATGGCCCAGTTGTAACTTTAAAGTAATTAATTCTACACATTGACCTTGTTTTTTGTTGTTGTTTTTAAATTACAGAACAAATCAAAGCTAAAGTTGCACACCTCAAAGGTACATTACTATTAATAATTGAAATAACTATATTTAGATTGAAATGGTTGCTGTTAAAATAAATTGTAATTTGTAATTAATTTGTATTCTCCTTTTGTTTTCTCAGGAAAAATGTTTCCTCCAACAACAGATGTTGTCGTCTAAAGGTAAGCTTCTGTTCGTGCAATAACTATCCAAGGTTTGTAGCAATAAATGGCGACACAGTTGTAAGAAATGACCAAGTTTTCTCTCTTTCCTACAGTGAAGAAGTAAGACCGAAGACACCATAAAAAGATGTCTACACCATGTGTGTAGCTTTAGGATTGTATTGTGTAATGATAAAAAAAAGACCAGCATTAAGAAAACTACATGCTGCATATTATAGATAATAGATAGTGAAAGTGAAAGCAGGAACATATAACTTAAATAAATAAATGTATTTTGAGAGAATCTGCAGAGTTTGGACCTAATATAATGAACAGCTGCACAAAATCCAGAGAACCAACACATGTGCACCAAATGATTCACAACGATAGTAATTACATTGTATTATACTGTTGTACAGCTATTAATATAATGGGGTACTGTGCATTTTTTGCATCTCTGGTGCAAAACCATCACATCTTGTTTTGATGTATTTATGTCTTGTCTCTTTTAGTGTTTCTTCTTTTTTATCCTGTCACATGTGAACTTTACAAAATACTTTTTAACTGTGTAAGGTGCAAAGATGCTTATATTTTGTATTGTTATGAAAAAAGGCAATATTTTCTACATTTACTTTTTGTACTTTTTGTATTTTAACTATTGTGTTGTCAAATGTTTTTGTACTATTTTGCCGGACGTTTTGTAAATACATTTATGTGGAGGTTGTTGGAGGACCTTGTGTTACTGGTATACTAATGAAAGGTAGCCTAAGCTGTGCATGAATATCGGTTACGGTTTGCAAACAGCATAGGCAGAGAAAGAGTTTGGTGCTGTGCCTGCACTTTTCGGTCAATTATGTTAATCAGTTACTCAGTCTGTCTCTTTATTATAATCTGTTTCTTTTGATAGTTCCTAATTATATTGCTTCGTGTTTTTATACAGTTTGCTTATTGTTCTGTCCTTTGTTTTTGTACAGTTTACTTACTCTAAATATTTGCATATTGCTTTGTATTTTTTTTTTCTATTGATACATCCTGTTTGCACTATCCATTTGCTGCTGTAATGTTGTAAATTTCCCCACTGTGGGACGAATAATGCCGTCAAATGGTGCTTCATGTCCTGCTGGTTTATAAATACAATTTAATTTACGTTTTTTAAAATTCCATCCATCTCCTGAGATTTTGTAGAGTGAAGTTTGTGTATAAGAGCAGACCGCTGTGATTTCATTGAACAGTCACATATGAATTCTTATAATTATCTCTGTAACAGACTAAATATTCTTAAAGAATCCCAGAGAACTGACACCTGCAGCGGCTGCAGCTCAGCGCTCCTTCTCTTCTTCTCTGCACTCTTTACGCACAGCGTGTGCAGCACCAAAGCCCATATCAGATTTGTTTAACCCTTAGATGCATAAGTGGGGTCAAAAATGACCCCAGAGGTTGTTTTTCTTCAATATCTACGGAAGTTTCATATATTTCATATTCCAGGTATAAAACATGTTTTTGACATGAGGCCATTTGCATTAAAAAAAATGTATATACATTTTAAAGAAATTGTTGTTTTTGTATCACTACTCCACTCTTCCATAAGTGGGGTCAAAAATGACCCCAAGCATTTCCTATGGAATATCAAGGGTTAGACTTAGGAATCTTTGATTCTTATCGACTGTGACTGTCAGGTATACATTTACTGTTGCACTTACACATCTAATGCCAGCAGTCTCACCACCCAGGAGGATTTTTATACAGCAACATACATCTAAGTATTATATTCGTTTTATATCTTGGAATACATATGATGTTATAAAATATTAACTTATTTTCCACATCCATGACTTTTGTGTGATAAAGTATACTATTATTGTCATCAAATTAGCCTCCTTTGTAGTTAGCTAACAGTTAGCTAGTGTTAGCTAACTACAATGTAGGTACTAGTTAGCTAACTACTATGTAATGTTAGTACTGTAATGTTAGCTAGCTAACATTACTGCACTTGTGTAGATAAGCAGCCTTACTATTTATAGCTTCCTTGTAGATAAAATCTAACCATTATTGTGTGTGTGTGTGTGTGTGTGTGTGTGTGTGTGGTTAGCTAGTAAGCTAGCTAACATTACCGCATTTGTTGTGTAGAGATAAGCAGACTTATTATGATATTTATAGCTTCCTTGTAATAAAATCTAACCCGTTAGGTAGCCTATTATACTCATTCATTTCATTCATCTTCTAACCGCTTCATCCTCTTGAGGGTCGCGGGGGGGCTGGAGCCGATCCCAGCTGACATTGGGCGAGAGACAGGGTACACCCTGGACAGGACTATCGCAGGGCTGACACATAGAGACAAACAACCATTCACACTCACATTCACACCTATGGACAATTTAGAGTTATCAATTAACCTAGTCCCCAATCTGCCTGTCTTTGGACTGTGGGAGGAAGCCGGAGTGCCCGGAGAGAACCCACGCTGACACGGGGAGAACATGCAAACTCCGCACAGAAGGGCTCCCACGCCCAGGATCGAACCGGCAACCCTCTTGCTGTGAGGCGAGAGTGCTAACCACCACACCACCGTGCCGCCCAGCCTATTATACTATTATTGATTATTCAGTGATGTCAGTAGTTGTCAAAATGTTAATAAAAAGTGATAAATGAACATGTCAAACATGAAATCACTCTTTTGTTGACCAAAATATAATACAAATCATCATCTTTAACCAAAATGAAAGAAATTGCTTAAGTTTATCACATAAAACGCATTGATTCTAATTCACATATGGAAGAATGTAGATATTGGTAGGTTATGCATCTAAGGGTTAAATTAATTATCAGGTTTTGCAAAAAGAGCATTTATCTATACAGAGAACAAAAGGGCAGGTGCTTGAGCACCACCTGGTGTCTAACTGTGCAAATGCCTGTTTGTGATGACTGAGGGGGATTACTTTTGTATGAGTCTATACATTGTTTTTGGAAAATCCTGAATAAGCAAAGGTGCATTAACAGTAATATGAATTTAATTAAATGTTTTTTTACCAAACCAGTACTGTTACAGCTGACTTGACAGTTACATATGGCAGTTGCAATGTTTAACCTTTCACCTGTGACAAATGACCATGCAAAAATGATCACAAATAGCTTAATATATTCATATAAAGCATAGTTGTTAAATTAATAGCAATTTCAATTAATTTTTAGATAAAGCAAAATGCTTGCAAAATAAAATACAGAGTGACAGTAATGACAATAAATGTAATTTAATATGACCGGCTTTGCACAGGCCGAGACAGTCATTTGGCAGGCCTCAGAAGGAACATGCACAAAAGATTTGCATAGTACAGTACAAATAAAAACATAATCTCTGTATGTACAGAATTTACAACACTGTTAATAAAACTGAAGCATGTAGCGTAAGTTGTGTTTTAGTCTGTCAGGGCTCAAGATAGAAAATTTACAAAATCATGTACAAAAGTCTTTTTTTTTTAACTTGTTTTATGCCTTTTCTTCATTATATTAATATTTTCTCAATATTGCTCAGAGCAAAGTATCTTGGTACACCTTTTTACTCAAAGGAAACTCATCTATACATCATGCTGTGACCCCTCAGGACACTTCCTGATAGGGCGACACCGAGGCCTTCCTCGCCCGATTAAACTGGATCTTGTCGTACACGGTCTGGGGCTGGTGACAAAAGGAGGTTAAACAAAAAAACATCAATGTTAATGTCATGTCAGTCAAAGTTAATGTAAAACTCATTTTAATACCAAAATGCAACACCTAATGATGCAGGTGCAAAAAAAGTAATGGTTAAGTGTGAGATAATTATATTAAGTCATAATGACTTCAACATGAAGTGATGATACATGAATCTCAAGTGCTATATTGTAGGCAACTGGAGCTTCTTGAAGACAAAGGCTTGATGGCTTGCTCAATCTTTATGGTCCTCCATATGCACTGGCTTCTCTGCTGCTTTCATCGTATCAAGGAACCAGCATGAAAAACAGCCAAATGTGTTTTTTTCTGCGTGGCAGGCTGCGTGGCTCCAACCTCACTTCTCAGTCTATCCTTACAAAACCAAATCAAATTCCCTTCTTAGGGGTTGTGCACCCAAAAATGAAAATTCAGCCATTATCTACTCACCCATATGCTGAGGGAGGCTCAGGTGAAGTTTTAGAGTCCTCACATCCCTTGTGGAGATCCCAGGGGAGAGGGGGTAGCAACACAACTCCACCCAATGGAGGCCTACGGTGCCCAGATTCAAACGTCCAAAAACACATAACTGAAACCATAAAATATCTCCATACTGCTCGTCCGGAGTTATCCAAGTGTCCTGAAGCCCCGACATAAAAAGTTGTTTGGAAAAACGTCATTTGAACTCTGTTTTTAGCAGTCAGAGCTGCAGGTTACAATGAGGCTAAAAACAGAGTTCAAATAACATTTTTCCATACAACATTTTATGTCGGGGCTTCAGGACACTTGGATCACTACGGACGAGCAGTATGGAGATATTTTGTGGTTTCATTTATGTGTTTTTGGACGTTTGAATCTGGGGCGCCTTAAGCCTCCATTAGGTGGCATTGTGTTGCTACCTCCTCTACCCTGGGATCTCCGCAAGGGATGTGAGGACTCTAAAACTTCACCTGAGCCTCCATCAGCATATGGGTGAGTAGAAAATGGCTGAATTTTCATTTTTGGGTGCACTATCCCTTTAAACAGTTTCCTTATCCTTTGTTCCTCTAGGCCACACCCCCTAGCACCTGTGTGGTATGGCACACCTAACTAGTGTTGACTTGTGGATGGTGAAAAGGTAAGGCAGGGGTAAGAGGGACACAATGGCCGAGAAGGTTAATACTAATATTAAACCCTCTAATAATAGTATCCATACATTTCTGCCCTCACTTTGTGGAGTGTCACAGTATGTCATAACAAGTCAAATGATGGGCACAATATAGTATGTCATCAAAAATGTAATAGTATAGTATGGCATAGAAATGTCATGAAAAATGTAATAGTATAATATGGCATACAAATGAATTAATATAGTATTATTATAAAGTAAATATCATGGAAATATAATTTAGAAGTCATTGCATAGTATGCTGTCAAAACGTCATAAAAAGTCATAGTTTAATATGTTGTAAAAAAGATACTAAAAAAGTCACAGTATGTCAGAGACAATATCATAAAGAGCTCATACAATAGAATGTCATAAAAATGTTTTAGTGTGGCTTGTCTGACCATAGTATCGTATGTCATAAAAAATTATCATACAAAATGTCCTAGTATAGTATGAGCACTTCTAGAACTGAACAAGCCTCTTGGATGGAGGTGAAACGTCCTCAAGAAAGTCAAGCAAGTCCGGTTGCCTACGATATAGCACTTAAGATTATCATGACCTGGATGACTGAGAATCTTCACCAACATGATGCACTGTATCATCATGAGTCATGAATTGGTCATTACATCATAAATTAAGAAATGCTAATTCACACTTCATACATTCATTCATGAAGACCAAAAGGTTTTTTGATATTTACAGTTATTATAATATTTGTTTGCTACTGCTGCGGAAGAAGTGGAGTGTAGCACCGTTGACTATGTTGCACTTAAAACGCAAATCATCTAACAGGTGCCATTAACAACGTAAAGGAAAATGGGCTGAAATGAAGAAAACAGCCATTTATTTCTATGAAAACAGGTGCTGCAATGTGTTCTTATCCCAGGTCGTCAAATACGGGCACTTGCTCCCACCCCTTGAGTGTGATAAAGCCAGAAGGCACCCTTTTGCATCTCTTTACGACGCAGCCTTTAATGTCTTTATGTGACACACACCCTAGGTGAAACTTGTTGTCAAATGGTTTCGGTTAAGTTCAGTAAAAAAAAATAAGTTTTAGAATAAGTTTGTATTTTAAAACTTAAAACTGTAGTATGGTTTTCTCCGGGCACTCCAGCTTCCTCCCACAGTCCAAAGACATGCAGGTAAATTGATGACTCTATATTGTCTGTAGGTGTGAATGTGAGTGTGAATGGTTGTCTGTCTCTATGTGTCAGCCCTGTGATAGTCTGGAGACCTGTCCAGGGTGTACCCTGCCTCTCACCCAATGCCAGCTGGGATAGGCTCTAGCCCCACCTGCGACCCTCAAGAGGATAAGTGGTTGAAAATGGATGGATGGATGGATAAGTTTGTAACATGTTGTAAACACTTGAGTGACGCAAGTACGTGACAGATGGGCGGAGATTGTGTCACAAGGCGAAAGTGCTAGTTGTATTGTGTTTCATTGTTTCGGTTTTTATATGTTGCTGTGTTTTATCTTGCATGTTTTTATCGTGCTTGGTTTTGCTGTTTTTATTTACATGCTTTCATTGTATAGTCGCATGGTTGTTGTGATTAAAGTAAGTTTTACTCCCCCTGTGGTCCCACTTTATTCGTGCCAAATAACCTGCACCAGGCAGAAAAGTCTTTTGCAGCCACCCAACCAGGCAAGTCTGTGTTGGATAACAACCAATGAGGTGGTGGTGAGAGGGGGGCTTCAGCCATGAAGATGTATTGGCTCGGGGAGGACAGCTAGAGGGAATAGCCGGCAAGCAAACACGGTCACAGCACTATGATGCTTTTTAGCTGCTTTTCAGGCAGAGTTCAGAGCTCTGCCTGATGACGTGAGTATCCCAGTGACCAGTGACTGCCAGCTGTCTTTATTACAGGCTGCCTGTAGACGCGTGGACTTCTGTCGTGGAGGAGTAACTCCGCCAGACCGAGATAAGGACAGTTGATTGTTTTAATCCTCGACCTGCTTCCTCAGACATTTTACATGGGCCTTTTATAAATTTTTATGACTATTGCTTTGTTTTTAGCTCCTCCTGAGGGACCCCAGGGTGTTCACAGTCCAGATTAGATATGTAATCCCTCCAGCGTGTTCTGGTTCTACCCTGGTGTTTAAACAGCACTGACTTTTGGTTTCACAGCGGACATGACCTGAGGTCTCCTGGCTGAAAGTCTGTGTTTGTTTGACCCATCCACACACTTAAGTGTGAACTAATCACATAAAGTTATAGTTATAATTAACCATGAAAGACACTCTGACACCCCCATTAGGAGGTTGGTTGTCACATGCTTTAGTGTACTGTAATCTCAAATTCAATCTCATCTGCAAGAATGTCAGAGATAAAAGTTTTGCTCTTACCCCAGTTGTGACTGTTTCGCCTCTGTTATCGATGGTTTCATACAGCGTGCATGGCTTCATGGTAGTGCCCTGGGAGTTTACATGTGCATGCATCACAGAGAGAGGAAACAAGAGAAGTTGGAAAAACATGCACTTCATCTTCTAAAACAAGCATTTAATTCCTCTTTCAAGTGGATGCAAATGATATGTGCAAAGTAAAGTGTGCACAGGAAATACATGAGCATACTGACATCCTCAGTTGCAACATCAGTGATATCAGCGTAGACGGTGAGGTCATTTGAGTCAATAGCTGGTGGTTTTTAATGAAGAAACAAAGCAAAAACAAAATGGTGAACATCTTTTTAAAAGAAAACTACGAACATTTTAAAGTTAAAAAGGCACACAGCTATTCAGAGTAGCATTTCTTACCTGCTTGGCTTTGTTTGTGGTGACAAACACACACAACTACTCCAACTATCATGATTAGCGCCAGACAACCTCCTCCTGCCGCCGCACTCGGAAGAATGATAAAGTTCCAGTCTGCAAATGATAATATTACCACTGTTACTATGATTTAGTAACAGTATACTTATAACAATTGTGCAAGGGCACAAGATATTAAGACCCTGTAAATTAGGAATAAAACTACAAGTGCAAAAATGATCTTTGGTGAAATACAGAATATTTACTTTTCAGTTATCTCATTTAACAGCTGGACAAGCTCCACATGAAGAGATGTCTTAACAAGATTTGTCACTGTTGATAATCCAAATGCAAAAAAAATACTCATTTAAAATAAACTAAAATGAATTAAACAGGGTTACACCCAAAATTTTGAGTTTCAGAATTCTCGTTTGTCATAGATTGACAACCCATATTTTAATTATTGCTGTCCTCAGTGTGCAGGCTCTAGTACAGTGATACTCAAGTTGTGGCCTGTGGGCCAAATCTGGCCCGCAATAGGCTGCAGGGTGGCCAGCCGACCATTTTGTAATTTCACACTGAAAATAAATTGATTCACACTGGGAATTGGTGCCAGAGTGCATTGAAACTTCCTAAGAAATAGAGAGTCACGGGAGGATCCGGGGGGGCCTGCAACTGCATTTTCCTTGTTTATTCATTTTATCTGATAAATATTATTAATGTTTGTTTGTTTGTTAACGGACCCCCAGCCTCTTGTCGTTTTGCAAAAGTGGCCCCCAGGCTAAGCACGTTGAGCATCACAATATATGATGCGCGAGGAAGTACCTCCAGCGTCATTGTTGGATATTCAGGGACGGCGTGTTAATTCACTCATTACATGCATTGTGTTTTTTCAAAATAAACATACATTTTCACAGGATATGTACAGTTAACGCTTGATAAATGTGTCTCTTTTCAAATTAAACTTTGAACACAGGTAGAAATTTTATAGCTTTACTCTCTTAAGTTTATTTTAATTTAATTTTTAATTTTATATACTTTATTAATCCCTGAGGGGAAATTCAATTTTTCACTCTGTTGTCAATTACACACAGGTCCGAACAAAAATCACCAGACTTAAAATAAATAAATAGGTTTCATATGACGTACATCCCTAGTGTATCATGCTACACACACTAGCACAATAACTTAAGAAAATAACTCGGTTGACATGTGGTTTCACATGGGACATGAACAGCAGTCTCCTGGGTGAAAGTCCTGAGTTAGTCTGACCAATCCACCTCCAGTCCTACAAGCCCTATGTGGATTTTTTTTTTTTTTCGCTTTTTATACTGTGACAGTTACTCGGAGTGTCAAAAAATGCTGCTGCCCAGTGCGTCTCATAAAGCTACTAAAGGGGCGCAATGGTGTGTCGGTATCTGATGCCCAGGGCCACTGACCAAGCACTGGTATTTGACGAGCTGGAAGTGAGTGTTGGTCATAACTCCACATTTCAATATCAGCGAAGTTTCCCTTTATATTCATTGTCTTCTGTGTCGATCAGCAGTGATGTGGTGGTTCACTTCTACACTGTGATCTGTAGCCTATAGTTCGGCTTTAGCTTCTAAATATGTTTGTCTTTTTAGCTATTTGGATGTCATGAGGAATCAGTTCAACATCCTGGATATATCCTTCCAACACAGACTGTAGACCCCTCTGTCTGCTTCTTTGAGAAATTTCCTTTTTTTCATTTTTCAAAAAAAAAAATGATAATGTCTTTTCAGGGAGAGCAGTTAGTTACAGTGTGGGCTCCATACTAGCTCCGACAGCTTGATGGACCATTGTAAAGGGGCGGGGCTTAGCCAAGGGTCAATTGAAATATATTTAATTGTGAGTAAGTGAAGACACCTTTATTTGAAATTATGACTAGTTAGAACTACCTTGGCGATATGGTAAATTTTGGTTTTGACGACTGAATGGAAACACCTAACTAACTTGTGAGATATTCAAAATTTGATTGAGAGCTTCACACAATGTAATGGCAACCTCAGTCATAATACACACAATATAATCAGAGATACTTAGAATTATTGCATTTATATATATATCATAGCTAGTTTAATGTTTCAACCATTCAACCATTGTCCTTCTCACTGTTCAGACAGCAATAGCAGTTAGATAGTAATTGCAGAAATTGTCACTGGCCACATTGCATTTATGGATATCTGTAACATAATTACACTCCCAAGACACTAATAACACTGATAACTATATTCACCTCACTGCATATACCTAGTTTAGATGGGTCAGCTGTACTGTTGCTGCAACTCTCGGTTCTGGATGCTGACATCTCACTGACAATGTTGGAAATAGTGCAGGTGAATTTGGTTTCTCCATCCTGAGGTCGCATGCTGTATTCCAGGCTGGAGCCAGTTATAGTTTGGTTCCCCACCGTCCAGTTGTAGGTGACATTGCTTTCAGGGGGTGCACTGCACTTCAGCAAAGCTGTACAGGATTCATTTGAGGGGTGCCAGGTGGAATTGAAAAAGACGTCGGGCTCTTTAGTAATGGGCTCTAATGAGAGAGTTGGAGAAGAGACAGAAAGAGGGACAGTTAAATGTAGACATTGCAGCTTAAGATCTGTCTGAATTTGGTAAATCCATTATGCGTGTACGAAAACCACCAATAAAGTCACGTATAGCAGAACTAGGCCCACAGAATAGATCATTTACATCAGTTAAGAGGTCCTGGACAAACTCTATTCCAAACCTATGTGTTCCTGTGTGAATCTGTCTATCAGCAGCTAATCTCAAATACTACTGGACCTAATCAGCCTTTTATGTGTATATTTATAACTGCATGCTCAAGGACTTTTTGTGGTTGTGGTGATTCATGATTGTTAAAGAATCTGTTTCATGAGCTGTTTTATACTTTCACTGACTGCTGACTGCTCACTCCTCTTGACTAGCTCGTAAGGGCCGCAAGTTTTCTCGTAAATCAGCTCAGATAAAAACAACAAGCCTTAGTTCCTGTCTGTTGCAGGCCTCACTTCCATGGAAATGTTTGGTCTCATTTTGAACCAGAAGACTCAAAAAAACAGCCCACACATCCAAAAACGGTAAATACTAGGTGCTGGACAGAAGAACAAATACAAAAATACAAAGACAGTTCTTTTGGACATTTTAATTGTGTGGTGATACAATTAGAATTTCCAAAAAGGGCAGCTTCTGGTGTGTGGACCTGTTTTTGTATTTTTGTATTTCTCATTTGAACCAGAGCATCTGCAGGTTAATCCATACCCAACATGTTATGATCTACTAAAGACAGACATGATAGGAGATGAATAAATCCACATTTTTGTTATCTCCTCCGCCATCTTGACTGTGAGGGAGCCGGGAGGGACAATTCCACCTGGTGCAGCTCTCCTTGATCCAGCTGTTAAAATGGGCAACAGCTGCTGTTGTGTCCTCTGCGCGGGATCATACCACAAGTGTTTTGCTGGTTCAATTTTGTAGACTTGCAGATTTTGTTGATGTGGACATTTTTCCTTGATATTTGTGCTTCTGCCATTAGTAAGCAGGCTATGTACAGTACAGGCCAAAAGTTTGGACACACCTTCTCATTCAATGCGTTTTCTTTATTTTCATGACTATTTACATTGTAGATTCTCACTGAAGGCATCAAAACTATGAATGAACACATGTGGAGTTATGTACTTAACAAAAAAAGGTGAAATAACTGAAAACATGTTTTATATTCTAGTTTCTTCAAAATAGCCACCCTTTGCTCTGATTACTGCTTTGCACACTCTTGGCATTCTCTCCATGAGCTTCAAGAGGTAGTCACCTGAAATGGTTTTCCAACAGTCTTGAAGGAGTTCCCAGAGGTGTTTAGCACTTGTTGGCCCCTTTGCCTTCACTCTGCGGTCCAGCTCACCCCAAACCATCTCGATTGGGTTCAGGTCCAGTGACTGTGGAGGCCAGGTCATCTGCCGCAGCACTCCATCACTCTCCTTCTTGGTCAAATAGCCCTTACACAGCCTGGAGGTGTGTTTGGGGTCATTGTCCTGTTGAAAAATAAATGATCGTCCAACTAAACGCAAACCGGATGGGATGGCATGTCGCTGCAGGATGCTGTGGTAGCCATGCTGGTTCAGTGTGCCTTCAATTTTGAATAAATCCCCAACAGTGTCACCAGCAAAACACCCCCACACCATCACACCTCCTCCTCCATGCTTCACAGTGGGAACCAGGCATGTGGAATCCATCCGTTCACCTTTTCTGCGTCTCACAAAGACACGGCGGTTGGAACCAAAGATCTCAAATTTGGACTCATCAGACCAAAGCACAGATTTCCACTGGTCTAATGTCCATTCCTTGTGTTTCTTGGCCCAAACAAATCTCTTCTGCTTGTTGCCTCTCCTTAGCAGTGGTTTCCTAGCAGCTATTTGACCATGAAGGCCTGATTCGCGCAGTCTCCTCTTAACAGTTGTTCTAGAGATGGGTCTGCTGCTAGAACTCTGTGTGGCATTCATCTGGTCTCTGATCTGAGGTGCTGTTAACTTGCGATTTCTGAGGCTGGTGACTCGGATGAACTTATCCTCAGAAGCAGAGGTGACTCTTGGTCTTCCTTTCCTGGGTCGGTCCTCATGTGTGCCAGTTTCGTTGTGGCGCTTGATGGTTTTTGCGACTCCACTTGGGGACACATTTAAAGTTTTTGCAATTTTCCGGACTGACTGACCTTCATTTCTTAAAGTAATGATGGCCACTCGTTTTTCTTTAGTTAGCTGATTGGTTCTTGCCATAATATGAATTTTAACAGTTGTCCAATAGGGCTGTCGGCTGTGTATTAACCTGACTTCTGCACAACACAACTGATGGTCCCAACCCCATTGATAAAGCAAGAAATTCCACTAATTAACCCTGATAAGGCACACCTGTGAAGTGGAAACCATTTCAGGTGACTACCTCTTGAAGCTCATGGAGAGAATGCCAAGAGTGTGTAAAGCAGTAATCAGAGCAAAGGGTGGCTATTTTGAAGAAACTAGAATATAAAACATGTTTTCAGTTATTTCACCTTTTTTTGTTAAGTACATAACTCCACGTGTTCATTCATAGTTTTGATGCCTTCAGTGAGAATCTACAATGTAAATAGTCATGAAAATAAAGAAAACGCATTGAATGAGAAGGTGTGTCCAAACTTTTGGCCTGTACTGTAGGTAAATGTTTTCTTTACTGGTCTGTTTTAATTGTGTTTATTGTTGTTACTTCCTGTGTTGTTGTGCTGTAGCCTACAGATAAAGTTATTACCATTCAAAGTCCAGTTATGCCGTTGCTCCCTCAAATATAGATAAAGCACGTATTTTTCTTGCTTCTGGGATTTTCTGAAACGCAACTGCTGGAGTTAAAAGAACCCTCTATAGTGGCCCCCAGATTCATAGTTGGGGAATAAGACACAGAGCTCAGGATGTGAAATATGCTGCATCCCATTATATCCATATAAACTAGCATAGTTAGCTTTAGTACAACACACAACCAGCATTAAAATAGTCTAGAGATCACAGGGAACATAGCAAAATATAAAATGTATAGTGAATTAATGATGAATTATCATCTATAAACAATTATTTGGTTACTTGGTCTCTTACCATGAACTTGCAGAGTGATGATGACTGTTCCCCTCTGTTTGCCAGTCACCGCAGAGGCAAAATGATAATCACCAGAATCTTGGAGAGTCAGTTCTCTCACTGTTAAACTGAAGGTTGTGGGGTTAAAGTCTAATCTGCCCTTGAACTGTTGGTTTTCAGAAAGTTTCTTATCTTTTTCTGCAATTATTGACGATCCATATTTCCAGAGTGCCATTATGACCTCTTCAGTTGGTAAGCAGGATGACAACTCCACGGTGTCTCCAACTTTCTTATGGATGACACGTTGACAACTGGAAGCCTCCACATCTGAAACACAAGAGCAAACAACACTTTCATGTAACTCTCCATATAAAGTAGCACAGAAAAGCCGAGCATAGAATACCATAAAACATAACACAAAATGGCATAAATTACTTCCACGGCATGATGACATCACCTGAATGACATCATAACGTGACACACCACACCAGAAAACACAATGTCTTCTTACAGCTTTCGTTTGTTTCCTGTCAACAGTCATCACTGGTTTCCTGTAAACATGACCGTGACCTTTCCCTAACCTCAACAAGTATTTTTAGTTTACTGAATAAACCACAATTTTAGGGGTTAAGGTTGGAAAACACTCATACACTCATTACCACAACAAGTGTGCGGAGCTGGCCTGGTTACCATGGCATCATTTCCAAAGAAACTGCAGTGGAACCACACACTCTGACCTCAGTGATGTTCATCATTTTCGGTCAGTGTTGCTGCTATTAATGGAGGATTTAGAGCATAAGTTGCCAGGTATTTTACACTGGAGGAAGCTGAACTACAGCAAAACTGGGACAGTATAGTTTGGATATAACTAAAGCGACTTTGCTTTTGTTTTGTATACACTGTCCATCAGTCAGACACCTTTCTTTTCAGTGAGTTGCCAGAAGAAAATGTTTACATTTCTGCAAACCACAAACATTCTTTATTTGCATGTTTCATATACATCATATCGACTTTTCTAAAGTGACGGAGGGGATGATAGATGGTGCGTCACCAAGGCGAGATGTCCACCAAGTGTAAGACCTCTGCAGACCACTGTTCAAGACCAACAAAACCAGTTGTGATTTTACGAGTCATTGCTGTGTTTCCATTGTCTTTGTAGGTCCCTGACGTGGGCGTTTTGTAGCGACCATTTGCTGTTTTTCCAGTGGCTTTTTAGGACACCAAATATGGGTGTGTTTTAATAACCTGTCACTATGTTACAACGGGGATAGTGCCACGAGAAGCGATTACTTTCTAGCGAGACTGGGATAGTGGCACCGAAAGCGTTTGTTTTTTACCGAGACATTGTTACTTTTCAGGGCTTGTGCCCCCTCAACCAGGTATTTCAAGCCAAAACATGATCTTTTCCTCAGCATAACCAAGTTGTTTTTTCCGCCTAAACCTAACCACTCATTAACCACAGTGTTGTTAAAATGTAGAGTTCCAATATATCCACTATATAACATGCAAATGTAATGTAACGAGGTTTACAGAAATGTACAATGCTAACATTTCTTCTGGCGACTGGGTTGGCCTTCCAGAAACTAGATTCTAGGTGGGGGTATCACACCAAGCAGAATTACTAAATTAGCTAACTTTTAAAATACCATGCAAAAACTTGTTCATTCATTCATTCATTCATTTTTCCTAACTACTTATCTTGGGGGTTGCAGAGGGGCTGGAGCCTATCCCAGCTGACACTGGCACTGACACTGGCTGACACTCACATTCACACCTATGGGCAATTTAGTGTCACCAATTAACCTGCATGTCTTTGGATTTTGGGACACAACCGGACTCCGTACCCAGAAAAAAGCCACGCTGACATGGGGTGAATATGCAAACTCCCCCATGCCAGGTTCCCCCTAGGAACCCTCTTGCTCAGAGGCAACAATGCTAACCACTGCACCACCGTTATAATAACCAGTTGTGGTCAGAGGGGGTTCAATTAACCATTCTTATTCTGTTTAGCACGGGGTCCCACAGGGCTCTGTCCTAGGTCCACTGTTGTTTTCAGTGTACCTGGCACCACTAGGTCAGATCATGTGCTCTTTCGGGATTGTTTTTCATTGCTATGCTGATGATTTGCAATTATATATGGCAGTCATTGCAGGAAATGGGTCTGTTTCTGATAAACTTACAGCCTGTTTGGCTGCTGTGACGTCCTGGCTATCAACAAACTTTTTTGCTACTTAACTCAGCTAAGACTGAGATGATAGCTATTGGACCGTCAAAATCTAGTCACCAGTTCGATCATTTCACCCTATCTCTTGATGACTGTGTCATTCATTGCAAGGACAATGTAAAGAACCTTGGTGTACTTTTTGATCAGACCCTTTCATTTAACTTGCATGTAAAAGAGGTGACACGAGTGGCCTTCTTTCACCTCAGAAAAATTGCAAAGATCAGATCAGTCCTTTCAGTAAAAGATGCTGAGACTCTTATTCATGCATTTCTGACATCCAGGTTGGATTTTTGTAATATTCTTTTATCAGGGTTGCCCAGGAAGAGTTTTCAAGGTCTGCAGCTGGTTCAGAATGCGGCAGCTCGTATTTTAACTGGATCATCTAGGTATGATCATATTACTCCTGTGCTGGCCTCTCTTCACTGGCTCCCTGTTCAGGTTAGAGCGGACTTTAAGGTGCTGTTACTAACATATAAAGCTGTAAACGGTCTGGCACCTGTATATTTAACAGAACTTGTGGATATTTATGTGCCTACACGGTCTCTGC